TATATATATATATATATATATAATATTCTATAATCGGGCTGTAGCTGGAACATTATTCCAACCCTGTTATCTGTTAAATCACTGCTACATACACTTGGTTATACCATAATTTGGCCACAGTACCCTTTCCAAAGCAGTGTTGGCTTCAAGATTATTTGTGTATTCAAGTATATTAATAAACAAAATATTCAAAAACTTTACCCTCCAATTCTAAAACCTATGAAAAGCTTACTAATCTTCCCAGTCCAGTAAGTAGAGTACTCTGGTTTTGAAAAGAGAAAAAGACAAGATGCTTGGGAAATGGTCTTGATTATTAATTTTAAAAGACCTTCCCACAGCATGGCTGTAACATGGATACAAGAGTGGCTAACTTACAAATTTCATCTCTGAGACTTCTCAAATCTTCACTAGTAACAGCTGCTTCAGGAACAATGATGTGCGTCAGCCAAACCACAAAAAGGTCTGCACCTGGAATACAAGAGTGGCTAACTTACAAATTTCATCTCTGAGACTTCTCAAATCTTCACTAATAACAGCTGCTTCAGGAACAATGATGTGCGTCAGCCAAACCACAAAAAGGTCTGCACCTGGAGAGACCTACACATCCCAGTCAACCTTAAAATCATTTCTACAGAGCAGGCAAAACTGGTGTTGCACATAAATGTATGGTGTGAACTGGACTTACTCACTTATTGAATGTCCATGTGCTAGGCAGAATGATAAATACGAGGGGGTTTTGACACTGAACAAGACAAACTCCTTGTCTTCAAGACACCCTCTGCTAACTGGTTAAAAACCAGGTTCCATTCCTCCGTAAAAGAGAAAGAGGAGATGGGGGGCAGGGGAACAGAGGGTTAAAAAGCTTACCTGTGGCCCTATACTTTACTGAAGCCACAGATTTTTTTTCTTTCAGTCTACTATTTGGGGTGGGAGAAACAACAGAAATATAGGTTAGGGCAATGAGCTTACAACAAAATCTAGAAAAGATGACCTCCTACTTTTACGTAACATCTGACCATAAGTTTCACAAGGTGGGATATACAGGCAGAAGTCTTAAGTCAGTTCCCTCCCTCTAGGAACATGCACTAACCTCTCCAGTGAAAGGCTACTGTCCTTACTGCTTCATATCCTGAGGTTAGAACTGGTCCTTGGTTATCAGAAGATTACCTACTCACCTATATGTCTGCATCCCCCCAAAACTCATATGAGATCCTAACCCCCAGTGTGATGGTATTAGGAGGTGGGGCCTTTGGAAGTAATTAGGTCATGTGGGTGGAAGTCCTTCTGAATGAGATTAGTGTCCTTCTAACAGAGACCCCCAAGGACTCTAGTTTTTCCCCACCATGTGAGGGTATAGCAAGAAGACAGCTGTCTGGAAATCAAGAAGCAGGTCCTCACCAGGCCTACTTAGAGTTTAGAATATAGAGGGATACCCAAGAATCTATATTTACAAAGCTCCCCCTGGTGATTATTAAGCAGGTGGTCTACATGTGTGAACCAATGGTACAGGTTACTGGAAGTAGGACAACCAGTTAGGAACATAAGCTTTAACATTTTTACAGCTTGTCACCTGTGTTATAACTAGAACTCCAAATCAAGATCGCTACTTTGTAATCTGCTTTCAGTTTGGGTGTGAACTTTTCTGAAAGTTCAGAAAAAAAGTGTGGAGAAAGGGAGTTAATAAATCAAGTACATAACAAATCAACAGAACATAATTATACAAGGGTTCTTCAAGAAGTAGGGATTTTGTATTTTAATTCTATTTTTCCATGAACTTTCTGAAGTACCCTTGTATAACAAAGAAAAAAATGTTACTACACTTCTGTTAAACTTCAAAAATGGAGAATTTAAGGTGGGTTATAATAATAAGATTAAGTACTAAGTGAAATATCAAAATCATAAAGTGCCTAACAGGACCCCTGAAGAAATTCAACAGTGGGAGGTCCCTAGCCTTTGGGACTTTGGGAATTACTGTGAAGGGTCTGAGAATCCACTGGAAAGACCAAGCATTGTTGCCTGAATAAAAACTTTAGATATTTGCTTAAAGCTGCTATTGGATGAATTCATGTAGCTTTTTATCATATGCATTTTCTTAATCAGAAATAAATAAAACAAAAATTAATCTCTGATACAGGGGCCTGCACATTTTTTGCCTTTTTTTTTAAAGTTCTCACTGGCAAAGTTAGAATCTACTTGGTCTGGAAAGTGGGCAGACAGTCCCATCCTGGGTGGTGGGGGACAAATGTTAACGACTCCCAGAAGGCCAATGTCAAGAAAACAGAGAAGAGATCTTCATGTGAGGCTGTTTGAGGGAAATGGTCTATTCAAGCACCCCACTCATTTCTCGATGAAACGACTAACTAGGTTTACCCCAGGGCAGCTAAGTATGTCTTTACTAGCTTTCTGTTCCCTCCTTTAGCAGAGGACACTTTTGGTTCCACAATAAACGCCACTTCAATTTCAAACACTGGTTGAAGTATACTTTAGAATGGCATGTAAATTAAATTATCAATCAATCTAAATGATTAGAAAGTATGGAAAGCACTGAATTGGGAAATGGGGGAATAAAATTAAGGTATTAAGGAAAAATGGGAACAAAAAAACACACTTCACAATTTCTGCACAAAGTTGACCCTGCTTGCCTTTGCCTGGGCACTTATTTTGATTGTGATGCTGTAAACTGAGTCATCTGTTTTGCATAATATGACTTTTAAAAAATAGCCAATGATTTTAGAGAACCACTGGTGCTATAGGAATTAGTTTGAGACTGTAGCCTTTTAAAAAACAACCACCAACACCCATTGATCCCTGTTTGAAGATGTCGAAATTTAAGTGTGATTAGAATGTTTACATGAGGCTGTGACTGAGAAGGCAAAGAGACCATGACTATCTATGCCTTTCATATTTTCTTAAACAGAGATTTAGGGTTTACTTGTAACCAAAACCCTTTTCAAAATAAAAGTCTAATACGTAAAAAAAATGTTTTTGCTTTGTATAAGAGTTTTAAGTTTTTTTCTTCTAGTCAAAATAAATACTGCTATGATATACATTTTAAGAAAAATGACAGTCATTTCTACTTTGACACAATATTTTTTTATTTCTATAATGGCTTCTGTCAGTACAGGAAGGTCTGTCTGTTGACTGATAGGCAACATATCTCCACTGTGTAAACTCAATAACAAGGACTCTAACCTCTGACAGCTTTTGCTACAACCCTAGAGACTTATTTTCTCTCCAGTGACCACTGGACAGGGTGGCTAGAGATCTTATGCCTCGTCAATACCACTGGTGATTATACTCATAAGAAGCAAAAAAACTATCAACTGGTAGTAACTTTTGCTTAACACATATAGTTTTAAACAGAATCTGAACAGTATAAAATAAGCCATTAAAGGTATAATCCTAAGAAATTACTAAAACCAATTGTAAAACACTGTCATTAGAACAGTCTTAGAATTTGATGTGTTCCCTGGATTGACTTACAGTTTTCCGGGATTGCTCCCACAAGGTAACATTTAAGCTTTTTTCCCCCTCACTTTTTATGGTAACCTAGTCGACTGTACATATCTGTGGGGTATGGAGCTGAATATCAACATTGTCTTGTTTTAAAATCATGTTTTTGTGAGTCCTCCCCCATTCCCATTCTCAATACTGACAGACTACTCTGCTATACTTCCGTTTCAGTCAGAAACCAAAGTTGCATTTCAGTTTTCAAATGGCATCACTGA